CCCAACTTATCTTTTTAACTCCCATCCAAAATTCAGCAAAATAATAAGTTTGTACCTTGGTAAAAGTTAGCCGAAGCATCGAAGGAGGCTTCATGACAAGTAGGCGAGTGTATTCACTTCATGAAAGGGTGAAGTATGGCCTGATGTGAATAAAACATGGCAACGGTCCTTGATACGACCGAAATGGAATCAACGCACTCAGAAGAACTTAAACAGTAAACCAGTGGCCATTAAAGGTGTCTCAATATGCACAAAGTTAACTTTAGCATTTCTTGAATTGCGTACACTCGTGCCTATGTGTGTATATGTTTGGCGCGTAGGTGGCGCGACGGCAAGGGATTCGAACCCCATCAACACAGGTATGTTGACCTGCCTTGCCTGCATTGTGGTCTTTCCTGGTTCAGTTTGCCACACTTTAAAGTGGTTGAGCTAACCACAAATGACAAAGAAGGAAAATTATGTGGTAATTTTGTGCAAGGTGAGCGCATTTGTTAGCAGAGTATTTGGGTAGGTGTCTAGGAAGTCTGCCGCAAGAGTCGCCTCACAGTTTTGAAAATATGGAAGTTTAAATTATCTGCTTGTTAAACTATTGAGAGTTGCTCGGTTACTGTTTATGCCACCGTTTGACTAGAGTAGATACTTAGCAATTTTAAGGGAACCATAACGCTATTTGTAAAGTGCTAAAACAGCTTCATGCTTGCGCAGTCCAACGTTTAACCGAGGGATCTCTTAGCTAGCCAATACCTTCGTTGCCTAATCTGGTAGCTTTGCTAGGATGAAAAAGGGATCGCAAAGTGCCATTTATTGTTCGTACTTTGAGCTAAGTGTCTGTTTGCAGAGGCAATGTATAAGAGCTGGATGGGTAAAACAGAATCCAAGGCCTCAGAGCCTCACGAGAGCGTCACCCTATCAGCTCTTGCAAGTCGACGAAGCGGTGCACAAACGCCGACAACTGCGGAGGCTCCTCTTGGTATGTTCTTGACACAGTATTAGAAAGCCCTGGGCATCAACTAATCTTATTTGAAGTACCTCCTTTCGAATCCACTGTACAACAAAAGTCCCTACCGTTAGTGGATCCTCTTAGATCAGTCGAGTGAGGTCATTCGCGAGTATAGGAAAACGATCTACTTTAAGATAAACTCTGACTTGCAGAAAATAAAATTACGTAGTCAACAATAGAATGCGATTGTAAGTGGATAAGTGTTTTTTTGGGAAACATAAATGATGCGGTTTTAAAATTGGTTGTTCATTTCTCCTTAGCCGACCAGCCGTCCATACCGATGGATGAGTTTGCAGAGGAGCACTACTCGAAGGGCTACCAGTGGCAGTCGCAAAATAGTCTGGTACATTTCTCCATTGATGATTGCTCTCACAGTTAAATCCTTGAACTGGTAGGGTCGTACTCCCATGTCAAGGAAAATGAAAGGCAGATAATTAGCATTAAAATATCTGTTATCACTTAAAATGTCATTTTACTGCTGCATTAAACAATGGTATTTATGCAACAAAAAGGATGATAAGCCTAGTGGGAAGTGTCATACCATGTCTGATGATAGTCA